ATGACTTGTGGACTTTAACTCCCAGAATTCCTGAGCCAGCATGGCTCAGCTTGGAAACTTCTCCCTTTCTCCTCAGCGTGGCTGGCTCAGGAATTCTGGGAGTTGAAGTCCACGAGTCATAAAAGAGCCAAGGTTGCCACCCGTCTCCTAAACAATCAAGACGTCCTTCTGAAACGCGAGTCAGCCATTTTGTGTTCAAAGAGAGACATTTTTCAGTCAAGAGCGGTCAAAATTAATGGGTTTTGCACACCACCGGTGCTGAGTTCCTCTATTTTGTAAGGCTTGAGAGCAATAAAATTAAGGCATAAATTTGGTTTTCGGTGTTTCTGCGGCTTATGAACATCCGTGTCTGCATGATATGGTCAAAACAGGGTAAGTGAATTTGTGAATTCTGTGGTGTATATAAATGACGTCATTTATCAAAAACTTCAGTTGGGTTATTTGCGCAGGACATCATGGCTTGTGCTGGACTCTTGTCACATGATAGGTCTGCTCTAAACCAGGTTCTGGGCCTGTGTAAACCTGGCCTAGGCCAGCCCAGAGATCCTAGCTCTCCAGATACTTCTGAACTGGCGCATTGTTTCTCCACTGTGGATTTTAGTTCGTCATTTATGTTGCGTTTTTCCTTTTGGGCATCCCCCACACGGTAATTTTAAAGAAATATTCCTTACTGTCAATGTCAAACTCTTACGAGATGTTGTCAAACAGCACGTAGAGCACCTTACATTCCCCACAGGAGCATGACCGAAGTGGGAGACAACATGGCAAATTGGCAGAGAAGAGATTTGTACCACTCAATCTCCCTGATTCTTTGTCCCCTGCTCAGCTCTTAATTTTTATTTATTTATTTATTTATTATGAAATTTATTTGCCACCGATTCTTGTGTCAAATGATAAACGTTCGAATGTTCCCCAAGAAAAAGATGGCCCAGAAATTGAGTTGAACTGATGATTGTTGGAAAAGAATTATGAATGGTCTTTCTTTAGGACAGTGTTTCTCGACCTTGGCAAATTGAAGATGGGTGGACGTCAACTCCCAGAATTCCCCAGCCAGCCTGTGGGATTCTGGGAGTTGAAGTCTACCTGTCTTAAAGTGGCCAAGGTCTTGTGTTGCCAAAGTTGAGAAATACTACTTTAGGGCAAGGATCTTCAAACGTGGACCTTTTATGACTTGTGGACTTCAACTCCCAGAATTCCTCAGCCAGCCTCCATTTTGTTTGTTAGATTTAAGACAGGGGTCTTCAAACTTGACCCTTTATGACTTATGGACTTCAGCTCCCAGAATTCCTCAGCCAGCCTCCATTTTGTTTGTTAGATTTAAGACAGGGGTCTTCAAACTTGACCCTTTATGACTTATGGACTTCAGCTCCCAGAATTCCTCAGCCAGCCTCCATTTTGTTTGTTAGATTTAAGACAGGGGTCTTCAAACTTGGCCCTTTTATGACTTGTAGACTTCATTCCCAGAATTCCTCAGCCAGGCATGTGCCTGGCTGAGGAATTCTGGGAGTTGAAGTCCACAAGTCATAAAAGGGCCAAGTTTGAAGACCCCTGCTTTAGCGTGTGTTTTCTTGACATTTTTTCAACCTCTATCCCGTTTCGTCTCTCTGTTTTCTTCCCCTTTTGTTTCTTTACTTTTTGCCCCTTTTTATTTAAATTTTATCTCTCCATTTCTTTAAGTTTTCCTTTCTTTATTCCAACTTTTTCCTTATATTTGTTATTTAAAGAGAGCTTCATTTACTGGTCAAAGAACATCTGGGAAAAAAAAGTGGTCTGTTTCCCATCCTTGCCAAAAGACATGGTCCCGTTTTTCCCTTTGTTGTCTAGGTAATTGAGAGTTAAAATGCAGCCATTCAGGGAAATAATTTGTGGAAAAGATTATATTCCACGCAATAGGCAAAGATTTTTATGGCGTTTCTGTCAGGAGATGAGCCAGGAGGGTTGGAAAAGTTTTATAAAAGCAATAGGGAGGAAATACGATTTCCAGCAAAATGTAAATCCGGATCATTATTTTGCTATTCCGACTTTTCCTTCTTCCAGTAGCTCATACAGTATTGGTTTCATTTGCCTGAGTATCCTTGGAGAGATTTTTTTTTTTTTTAAATTAAGATTTGGAAAAACTGTTTCGTTTTGTTTCCAAATATGTGAGGTGGTGTTGAAATGTCTTTTGAAATAAAAAAATAAAAATGTGGACTAGCAATATGAAAAAACAAGAGCGGTTTTTTTGGGGGGCGGGGGAACTGTCTGATTTCTGATAATCTCATGTGTTATGTGAGAACATTTGCACGGCAGGTTGATAACATTTGAAGCAGAATGTAAGCAGAATAGCAGAATTGGAAGGGGGGACCTTGGAGATCTTCTAGTCCAGTGGTTCTCAACCTTTTTAATGCCGCGACCCCCAACCGGTTGTAAGTCGAGGACTACCCAACCGGTCGTAAGTCAAGGACTTTCCTTGCCCGGGAGCGCCACACATGCGTGGTGCCGCCCCCTGCGCTGGCCGAGGCGTAGCTGGCAAGCGGCAGAGATGGCGCAGGCCGGCCACCGGCTGGGCCACCAGCTGGCCCAGCCCAAGGGAGGTAAGGCACCCGCCGGGCCCCACGCACGCCAGCATCCCTCCCTGCGCCCGCCGGCCTCCCACCTCCCACCCTGGCCCTCTTTTACTTACATTTTTAGTAGTTGCTCAGCAGGGAGGGGTGGAAGCTTCCAGACAGCTCACCTTCGCTGCAGACAACTTGCAGCACTGTTTGCAGAATGGGACTTTTGGAGGGCTCAGCAGGGCAGAGACAGCCTGGACAATTCCTATTGGCTTTTGAAAGCCAATAGAATTAGACTCTATTCAAGAGAGTCTATTCTATTGGTTTTCAAAAGCCAATAGAATAAAAGAGAGTAGCACAGCTAAGGAAAAGGGGGAAAAATGGCGGACTGGGTTATTTGGTGACCCCCGTGAAATGGTCGTTCGACCCCAAATGGGGTCCCGACCCACAGGTTGAGAACCGCTGTTCTAGTCCAACCCCCTGCTGAAGGAGGAGACCCTAAGCCAATTCAAATAAATGGCTGTCCAATATCTTCTTAAAAACCTCCAGTGTTGGAGCATCCACAACTTCTGGAAGCAGGTTGTTCTAGAGAGTCCTTTATTGCTCTCAATAAAGGTCCCATAAACAGCCCTCCAATGATCCGTAAGGATCCACTCCACACTTTCCTGAAGGCAGCCAGTCCCCCAAACCAGAATTCCCCAACCTTTCCAGGTTGGTGGTCTGGAGGTGGGAAAGAGGGGATGGTTTTGTGGGAGGGGTAGTTTGTGCACACGTGCATGCATGCATGCACACGAGCATCCATTGCATGATGGGCCAAGAGCCCTGCAACGCTCACACAAGGGAGGACCCGAGTGCCTGCAACACTTGCGCACACCAGCCAGCCACTCCCATGGCCGGGTTGCGAATAGGCCACAGACTGGTAGTGGGCTGGGGTCCACAGGTTGGGGACCTCTGCCCCAACAGCCCCTATAATAACAAGTCCACAGACTAGGCCAGGGGTAGGCAACCTTGGCTCTTTTATGACTGGTGGACTTCAACTCCCAGAATTCCTCAGCCAGCATGGCTCAGCTTGGAAACCTCTCCCTTTCCCCTCAGCATGGCTGGCTCAGGAATTCTGGGAGTTGAAGTCCATGAGCCATAAAAGAGCCAAGGTTGCCCTGGGCTAGGAGCATGCTCACAGGGCAAGGTCCAGAGTCCCAGGTCCAGTCCACCCGGCTAAGTGAGTCCATGAGGCAAATGGCAGCCCACAAGGCACGGGCAAGGCACAAGACAAAAAAACGAGACACTCCTCACAGCTAGGCAAGGCAAAAGGCGACAAGGGCTCCTCGAGGCAAGGCAAAAAGGTACGAGTCAAAGCCGTACAGTTGTTCCTGGAAAAGACTAAGTCCCCACGGCTTCTCCTTAAGTCACTCCGCTCCAGTGTTCCTTGTGAGGAGTGGTGGGGCGACCTCCTCCTGACTAGCTTGGCAGCCCTTCTCTGAGCTTGCCTCCGCTCCGCTCTCCGTGCCCTTGGATCGAGCGGGGGAGGCAGCTGTTCCTCATCAGAGGGGATCTGCTGCCTATCAGCCCTACTACCTGTCAGCAGCCGATCCTCCCCTGCGTCTGTGAGGGCACGCAGCTCTCTGTCCGGTCAACCACCTCCCCCAATGCCTGAGGGGCCTGGGACAGCATCGTCCTCAGCCTCTGGTGTCAACGCTGCTAACATTGGATATTCTTGCTTTGACAAAATATGCAGAGCTGTGTGGTATTTTTAGAGTTAACTTAGATGATGCTGGGAGGGGAGGAGAAAGAATGTGTGTGGGGATTAGTCAAGATAAGGAAACTGCAGGCTACAGAGAACCTTTGCCCTTCAAACTGATTAGAGAACGTGATTTATTACAGCAAATTAAGGGAGGGAAATATGCTGGCAAAATATGTGCTCAGGGGAGGGGAATTCAGATCTTGGCATCCTCCATGCTGTGCCGACACTTTGTTACATCATTAAAGACTTTTTAGGATAAACAATGCCTGGAAGTTCTTTGAAGTGTTCCATTCGTCGGAACCATGACACCTGGCCTCTCCAAACAGGCCAAGGGAGACGGGCCATTCACGTCAGACGGTCCCGGTTCCAACTCCTTCTCCAAACTGGGCTCTGATGGGGCCATGCACCTTTCTGGCCACAGTTATTAAGCGAATCACTGCAGCTGTTAAGTTAGTAACGCAATCTGGCTTCCCTCATTGACTTTGCTTGTCAGGAGGTCGCAAAACGGGATCACATGACCCCGGGGGACACTGCAACCGTCATGAATATGAATCAGTTGCCAAGTGTCCGAATTTTGATCACATGACCACAGAAGATGCTGCAATGGCCATGTGAAAAATGAGAAGTCCCTTTTTTCAGTGCTGTGGTAACTTTGAATGGTTACTAAATGAACTGTTGTAAGTCGAGGACCACTGTACCGCGAATGCTAAAACCTCCAAACTTGTCAGATTCTGCCTCAAGCAGCAAGATTTTAGAACTCCTGGTTGGGAATGCTGGGAATTGAAAATCCCCATGTCTTGACCTCTGGAAGAAGAAATGACGAACGATGGCAGAATGAATAGCTGGTAAGTAGACCGGCTCTTCCTTTTTCTCTGTAAATTGCCCTGTGGCACAAAGCATTGTGTGGTATTTTTAGAGTTAACTTAGATGATGCTGGGAGGGGATGATGTCTGATATGATCCATTCTTGTGGATCATATCAGACACTGCCATAAATTCAGCTAAAATAAAAAAACATGAGTATTTATTAAGGAATACAGTCAGGGAAGGGAAGGGAATAAAAGTTATTCTTTTATGATAAGCTGGGTAACTGTGGGAACTGTGGGGGTGGATATTGCCTAAATTATATTAAATATAGCCTCCACCAAAAAGAAAAAAGAGACTCTTTTTAATTACTATCAAAATGGAGAAACCTCAGTCACATTTAAACTGTACACTTATATTGGAAAAGATCTATGAGGCTACTGCAGAAATATGTGCTACAATGAAAAGGTTTACTACAGAACTAAGATCTAGGGATTTCACTTCAATTGTTCAAATTGACGTCCAGGCTATATCTGACTATGGTATAAATCAAAATATATTAGAAGAGGACTCAACAGAGATAAAAGAGGAACTTATTCTATCTTACAAACCTTCCATCTGCAACTTTGAGGAACAGAAGAAGCAAAGACTGAGATTTCAAACTACAAAGCAACGATGCTTCAAGGAGGAGAGCATCTGCAACTTAGAGGAACTGAAGAAGCAAAGACTGAGACTTCAAACTACAAAACAACGACCCTTCAGGGAGGAGATATACAGACGTCTAATGCAGAGGATGGGATTGCTATTATTGCAAAGGCTACCGCAAGCAACAAAGACAGATCTACTGGCTGAAAGGGAAGCGTCCCTATGGAAACCTGCTTGGCACAGGAAAAAAGGCAGAATTAGACTGAAAAGAGAAATTTAAAATTGTGTAATGGATTTAAAGGCAATTTTTGATTTATGGTTTGTTTTAAGGATTATGATTTAGAGTTAGAAGCAAGAAAAAATATAAACATATATATATGAGGGTGATTTTTAGAAAAGATATTTTAAATAGATTAAGAATACTTTCTGGAATAACAGATTTATTTGATGAAAATTATGTATTGGAATTGAAAAAATGTTGATTTTTTTAGATTGGGATGGTTTTAATAATGGAGTGTTTTAACTTAGATGATTTTTTTTGTACAATAACATAGATGTGATAAGGTATGACAATCAATTGGATGAAATTTGAAGTTTCTGTAATGAATTGAAGTGAATTAACATTATTTTTTAATTAAGATAGCTATTGTGTAATGGAAGAAGAAATAAATGAAATTGGTGATAAAAGGAGGGATGAGAGAAATTAAGAACTAGAATATATCTGGAAGGGATACCTGACTTGATAACTTGTTGAGTTAAAGTGAAATTTGATTTTGGTAATTGTAAACTGATAAAGTTTTAAAACAGGTTTAGTAGTAATAGAAATTTAATTTAGAAATGGAATATTTTAAACGTATTATGTTATTTGAGGGAAATAGAAAGGAGACAGTGAATGTATTGAGTTGAGTTGTTTATTTATGTTTTTACTTTGGAATGTCTGATTACCCAAACACCACAGTGTGTCCTGAGTACTTTTTTAAAAAAATTAAAAAACTAATAAAATATTTTCAAAAAAAAGTTATTCTTTTATAAATTGTAGAAATGTAATTGTAGAAATGTAATGCCATTATATGAGACTGTCTATTTAGCACCAATGTACCGTATTTTCCAGTGTATAGGACGACTCAGCGTATAAGATGACTCCCGACTTTGGCACCAATTTCCATGCCTAGAAAGTCATCTTATACGCCAGAAACTACCATAATTTCCGGCGTATAAGATGACTCGGCATATAAGACGACCCCCGACTTCGACGCCAATTTCCATGCTTTAGAAACTCATCTTATATGCCGGAAAATATGGTAACGCTGTAATGCAAGTGTAGCAATGTACTGCCAAATGTGTGAGAAAGTCTGTCTACTGCTTCCTGCCTACAGTATGTAAAGTGACCACAAAAAAGTAATCGGCAAAGACAATGAATTATGACCTACTTGAGTAGAGGTTACAAATAAACAAAGATAAGATCACAAAGTGGAAATTACAAATAAACAAAGATAAGACCACAGCAGATGGACGGAAATGGCCAGGATGACCTTTTAAAATGTAAAGCAGCTTCAAAGAAAATGGAGAAAGGGAATGGGAGGGTTTCTTAAGCATGACTGCATTGGAAAAGGTATAAATTGTATATCTTGGAAACTGCTCTTTGCGCTCGTGGAACCCAATCCACTTTGGGAAGCGTCCAGGAGGGCGCGTTTGCAAACGCCTTTCTTTTTTTTTCTTATTATTTTTATGTTTTTCTCCAATAAAACTTTGTTTTGTTAACCAGACTTGTCTTCGTATTGTGAGTACCAAAATTTGGAGTTTTTACATCTCACAGAAGCAGGACCAGAAAGCAGGTACACCAGAAATAAAACAAATGCACATTATTGTTTATACAACACAACACAGAATAATTTGAGTTAGAAGGGACCTTGGAGGTCTTCTAGTCCAACTGCCTGCTTAAAGGAGGAGACCTTAAAAAACTCACTTAACAACTGTCTTGCTTAGCAACAGAAAGTTTGGGCTCAGTTACGGTCATTAGGTCGAGGACTACCTGTCACCAGTTTGGTTCAAAAGCATGAGCTTTTGTGGGTTTTAGAACAGAATAGAGCTGGAAGGGACCTAGTCCAGCTCCTTGCTTAAGCAGGACAACCTACACCATCTCAGACAGGTGACAGGAAGTGGTTTCATGTGGCCCGCAAAGCAGTGGAAAGAGTGAGGGAATGGCCCTCACTGCCTTGGCTCTGGCCCAGGCCGGCCGGGAGCCAATGTACAATTTTGTGGTGGCCTTCTATGCTGAAACACATTCAGTCTTAGCTCCACAAGGCCATCTAGAAACAGCGAGGAACCAGCCCCTGCTGTATCGGCCCCGCCCCCTGGATGCATGCTGGGGAGGTGTCACCCTTTGTGAGGAATGAAGAAATGGACCATGCCTTGGTGCTTGCCCCAGTCCCACCCCCTTCTGCCAGAGACCCTCAGATCTGTCCCACTCCTGCCCAGGCCCCCACAGGCACCCTTGACACAAACGATGTAGAGCTGGCCATGCCCACCCAGTAGGCCACACCCACTCCATTCACACCCACCCAGGCCACACCCACCCGCCCCCCCGAGGACAACCGGAATGCTGATGCGGCCCTCAATGAAATTGAGTTTGACACTCTTGACCTATGCACTTAAATGACCCGGAGGCTGTTAATAATGACATGTTTGCAGCCCCCAAACCAAGCTTGTAGAATTTCAATTGTACAACATACCATACCATACCTATGACCATAATTGAGCCCAACATTTCCGTTACTAAGCAAGATATTTTTAGAAGAGAGCTTGGCCACATTTTACGACCTTTCTTGTCAACGATTGTTAAGTGAATCGCTGCGGCTGTGAAGTTACTAACATGGTTATCAAGTGAATCTGACTTCCCCTTTGACTTGGCTTGTCAGAAGGTCTCAAAAAGGGATCACGTGACCCCCCGCCCCAGGACACAGCGACCACCGTATCTATGATCCTGTTGCCAAGCCTTTGAATTTTGTTCACATCACCATGGGGATGCTGCGACGGTTGTAACTGTGAAAAACTGTCATAAATCGTCGCAACTTCGAACACCACAAAATGAATGGTTGTTAAGTCGAGGAGTATCTGTATTGTAATAAGCTTGAATGGATAGACATTTGCTTCTGAGTAGCTTCATTTTGTGGGAAGTCAGCCCCCCCGAAAAGGAAATATTAAAAGGGCAGAAAAATATATTTCCTCAAAAGATCTTAAAGAAGCAGAAAAGCAGGCCCAGTTTTTCTTAATAGCCCCAAGTCTCCCTCCCCCAAGCAGAAACCAGCTTTGTAGAAATGCAGATGTAAATAATCCATTCAGGAAGGTTGAAGCTAGAAGATTAAGAAGACAAAGACACCTAAAATCTACATACCCCACCCTACCTCTAAGATAGGACATAATAGGATTAACTCACAGATTCCAAAGGGCACACCCAGACTCAGGTCAGAATACATGACACAGGAAATACAAACAGGAAACAACTCCAAACAAAAGGCTCCACAGGGTATAAAAATCCACTCCCTACATGTGCTCGCTCCCTTTTCTTCCAGAGCCATCTTCCTGTCTATCTCTCCTCTTCAATAAACTGCAACCTTCTTTCTAAAGCAGTCACCATGTTGTTTATTCCCGGCTTGGACTGAACCATGATGAAGACTTTTCCTTCAACAGTTTTATGCATTTTGGAGACAAATAAGATGGACAAAGATGGTCCAGGAAGATTGAGGACATCTAAGAGCTTAAGTGAGAAGATGTGAAATGGTTCCAAAATCTTTCTCTCTTGCTCCATCAACTTCATCTGGTGACTTAGCGTGGAAAAGCGCAGAGGTTATACGGGAAGGGCTGGCGGGTGGTCCCTGTGATTTCTCCAAAGCTGATGTCCTTTACTCCTGGTGGGAGCTGGTACTTGAACGAATGGAGAAGGTTGGCGAAGAAAATGAAGAGCTCAACTCGGGCCAGGGACTCCCCCACACAGGCACGGCGCCCTGTGAGGGAAGGAGGAAGCAAAAGCCATTGGTTTAAGGGAGGGTTTAAAAACAAAAGGAAGCAAATTTCAAATGAAATAGTACTCTACCTAGATATTTGCCTTTTTACATAGCTGCCAAGGAATAATGACTATGAATTAAGGACGGCCACCTTAAATGAAGCATAGATGGGGGAAAAGAGCCAAACTTCTAGAGAAGAATTAGTACTTACAATGGTGGCTGGATCTCTCTCTCTCTCCCTCCCTCCCCCCCTCTCTCCATGTCTCTCTCATCTATCCATCCATTACCTATCGTCTCTGTATCTCTGTATTTATTTATCTATCTCTATCTAGCATCATCTATCTAGCATCTCTCTATATCTATCATCATCATCTATTAATCTAGCATCACTCTATCTATCTATCTATCTATCTATCTATCTATCTATCTATCTATCTATCTAATCTATCTACAATCCTTTCTATCATCTTCCTTCCTTCCTTCCTTCCTTCCTTCCTTCCTTCCTTCCTTCCTTCCTTCCTTCCTTCCTTCCTTCCTTCCTTTATCTATTATAGTCCTTGACTTGCAACCATTCATTTAGTGACCATTCAAAGTTACAATAGAACTGTAAAAAGTGACCTATGACCGTTTCTCATATGGCCATTCCAGCAGCCCATGGTCACATGATCAAAACTGACTGCTTGGCAACTGGCTCATATTTATGACGGTCGCAGTGTCCCGGGATCATGTGATCATCTTTTGTGACTTTCTGACCAGCAAAGTCAACGGGGAAGCTTAACAACTTAACAACTGTGTTACTAACTTAAAACTGTAGTGATTTACTTAACAACTGTGGCAAGAAAAGTCATAAAATGGGACAAAACCTACTTAACAACTGTCTGGCTTAACAACAAAATTTTTGGCTTCAATTGTTCTTTGCAAGTCGAGGACTATCTGTATTTATCATTCCTGGCAACTTTAAGAAGCTTGGACTTCAAGTGCCAGAATTCTCTAGCCCAGTGGTTCTCAACCTTTCTAATGCCGCGATCCCATAATACAGTTCCCCATGTTGTGGTGACCCCCAACCACTTATACATCATCGGGTGCCAGGGGCCTGGCCAAAGAAAAGGGGGAAAAAATGGCGGACAGCCTTGTTTGGTGACCCCCGTGAAATGGTCGTTTGACCCCAAATGGGGTCCCGACCCACAGGTTGAGAACCACTGCTCTAGCCAGTGTGCAGGCGGGGGAATTCTGGGAATTGAAGTCAATACTTCTTAAAGTTGCCAAGGTTGAGAAACATTGCTCTAGAGCAGGGGTCTTCAAACGTGGCCCTTTTATGACCTGTGGACTTCAACTCCTAGAATTCCTCAGCCAGCCTCCATTTTGTTTGTTAGATTTAAGAACAGGGGTCTTCAAACTTGGCCCTTTTATGACTTGTGGACTTCAACTCCTAGAATTCCTCAGCCAGGCACGTATGAGTGGCTGAGGAATGCTGGGAGTTGAAGTCCACAAGTCATAAAAGGGCCAAGTTTGAAGACCCCTGTTGTATGGTTTTTAAAAAAATCAGTTCAGCTGGGTTCTGGAAAGAAGAATCATATTGACCCCTTCTTTACCTGTTGAGAATGGCAAGTAAGCTTCATTGTTCACAAAATTGCCTTCAGAATCAAGGAAATGCGCCGGATTGAATTTCCAAGGAGTCTCCCAGTACTCTGGGTCATACAGCACTGAATGAGCATTGGGCAGCAGTAGGGTTCCCTGGAAGTGTGGGGAGGGGGGAGAAAAAGGAAAGGTGAGTTCTTGTTTTATAAATTATCTGTTCAACCATCCTGAGAAGGAGGCCAAAAATTCTGCATGTTTTCTCTTTCCCAACAGTGGTGGGAAGGTAAGGTGACCAACCGTCCTCCTTTAGGGAGGACAGTCCTCCTTTTGTAAGTTCTGTCCTCCCTCAAAAAGTGTCCTCCTACATGTCCTCCTTTTCGATAGTTGAAGACTAATCTGCAGGGCTTTTTTTTTCCCTCATAGAATGCTCAGAATGGCATTCTGGTACCTTTTTTTGATCTTTTTTTTTTTTTCAACTTTTGCATGAGCTGTGCTACTCCCCCTATTGGCTTTCGAAAGCCAATAGGAATTGCTGCTGAGCGCAGCCGGCAAACTTTGCACATGCAAGTTGTCTGCAGCAAAGGCAAATTGGCAGGAACTTTGCACCCCTCCCTGCTACCCAACTACACCATCTCCTAGTTAGTCTCAAAGATACCTGGAGGAGACGGGAGCGGCAAGGCCACGGTAAGTTTCTCTTGATCTTCGGCCCTGCTAGGGCAATAATGGCTGCGGGCGCAAGAGGCAGGGGTGGCGGGGCTGCTGCGGGCGGGGATGTGAGGGGTAGCAGTGGCCGGCTGCTCCCCATGCTGTGGGAGCTGCAGGGCCGGTTCTACACGGGGCTGCGCAGGGTGGGCGGTGGTGCTGGCGGGGCGGCTGCAGGTGGGGTGTGTCGATGGCGGGCTGCCCCCGAGGGCCAGAGCCGGCGTGGCTGGTGCTTTGGGAGCCGCGGGGCCCGCTCTGCATTTATTATATTGTAGTGTATTCTGTATTATTGTTGCAATGAATAAAATGTTTCTTTTATGTACAATATTTTTTTTCTTCAATTTATTTGTGTCCTCCTTTTCATTGTAAAAAAGTTGGTCAGCTTAGGGAAGGGCAAAGACCCAGCTGAATAAGCTGAAATTCAGAATATGGCATACAGGCTAGAACAGAATTTATCGATCTCAGTAACTTTAAGGCGGTGGACTTCCCAGCATTCCCTCGCCAGGATGTGAAAAGGTAGTCCTCAACTTATGACTGCAACTGAGCTTGGCAATTACGTTTATAAGTTGTCCTGGTTTTAAAGCCGTCGCCACTTAACCAGCTGTGGCTGTTAAAAGCAAATGCTGTGTTCTTTAAGTTAATTGTTTGCTATGCCCCCCCTTTTTTTGCTGTAAACTGGAATTAAATGTCAGTTTTGGGCAAAAAAAGTCATAAATCATGGTCATGTGACCACAGAATGCTGCAAACAATTGTAAATGTGGGCCAGTTGAATTAGAATAGAATAGAGCTGGAAGAACTTATAGTGTCCTCCTAGTCTCCTAGAAGCAAGAAGCCGAAACACCAGCCTGAAGATGACGAATTGGACTTTGTCAAAATGTCGCCAAGACACTTCCAATTTGACGCGGGAGAAAACCCGAATAACCAAAGACACACACACACACACACACACACACACACACACACACACACACATATATATATATATATATATTTTCTGAGGTTTTCGCGGGTATTTGTATGTAGGTCTTTGGTTGTTCGGGTTTTCTCCCGCGTAAAATTGGAAGTGTCTTGGCAACGTTTCGACGAAGTCACATTCGTCATCTTCAGGCTGGTGTTTTCAGCTTCGTGCTTTGAGCAGCAATGTGTGGTCTTAGCTGTTTCTTCCTTTTAACTGCCAGTGGGGGTATGAACTGATTGGGTGGGAGCTTGGCTGTGTTCTGATTGGGTGGAGGTGTGTTCTGAATGGTTAGGGGCTTGGCTGTGCTCTGATTGGCTGGGGGAGTGTTCTGTTTGGTTGTGCTCAGGTTAGTCTGAGTTGCAGAGGGGTTTAAGATTTTGGGCTGCCTTGCTATTTTTTGGCTTCTCGTTCGTGGTCGTGCCTCCTCTTCATGGAGGGTGTCAGTTTGCTTCATGTATGGATTGGAGGGGTTTAAAGTGGCTAATGATGCAGCTGTGGTCTGGCTTCTGGTTTGTGGTCGTGCCTCGTCATCGGTGTGGCTTTGGGTTTGTTTTTTGCGTGGATGTGTGGTGGTGACATCCTGTGTGGTTTTTGTGAGTGTGGGTCTGGTATCATTTTTTGTGTTAGGGAGTCGTTTGTCAATAAGGGCGGGTTTCCAAATGGCTGGTAGGCGGGAGGTATCATCTCGCTTGTTCATGCTGTGTGGGCGTTTTTCTATCTCGATGGCTTCTCTGATTATTCTGTTATTAAAATGTTCACTTTTGGCAATGGTTCTGGTATTTTTAAAGTCAATTTCATGTCCTGTGGCTTTAAGGTGTTGGACCAGGGAAGATGTTGGTTCCTCTTTTTTGACTGAGTTCTTATGTTCTTCAATGCGTGCACTTATTCTTCTGTTGGTTTGTCCGATGTATGTGGTGGGACAAGTGGTGCATGGGATTTCGTATACTCCTTGATTTTCTAATTCAATTTTATCTTTGGGGTTTCTAAGGATGGTGGATATTTTTCTGTTTGTGCAGAATGCTGTTTTGATGTTGTGTTTATGGAGGATCTTACTGATTCTGTCTGTGGTGCCTTTTATGTATGGGAGGAGGGCTTTGCCGTTTTCTTGTTCTTTGTCTTGGATTTTAGTGGGGGTTTCTTTTTGGATTAGGTTTGTAATCTTATTTCTATGGAATCCATTGGATGTTAGTACATTGGTGAGAGTGTGTAGTTCGGGTTTTAGGTGTTGTTCGTCAGCTAAGCGTTTTGTTCTGGAGATGAGTGTCTTGGCTACAGAGTTGATCTGTGCTGGGTGGTGGTGTGAGAGAGCGTGCAGATAGCGGTTTGTGTGTGTTTTCTTCTGGTAGATGGTGTGTCCTAGGGAGCCATTGGATTTCTTGTAGACTAAGACATCCAGGAAGGGAAGTTGGTTGTTAGCTTCTGTTTCCATGGTGAACTGTATTTTGGGGTGTAGGCTGTTGAGGTGTGTGAGGAAGTTGTCCAGTTTTTCTTTCCCATGTGGCCAGATTATGAAGGTGTCGTCTACATATCTGAGCCAGAGTTTGGGTTTGTGATCCGATTTTTCTAGAGCTTGGGTTTCAAAGTGTTCCATGTAGAGGTTGGCAATGACAGGTGAGAGGGGTGATCCCATGGGTGCTCCTTCTGTTTGTTTGTATTTTTGTCCATTATAGATGAAGTATGTGTTGGATAGGCAGTGGTTGGTCAGATCTAAGATGTGTTTGGGGGGGTTATATTTGTTTTGAATAGCTGTCAAGGCTTCTTTGATAGGCACTTGGGTGAAGAGGGATATGACATCGAAGCTCACTAGTAGGTCGCTGGGCTGTAAGTTTTGTTTCTTTATGATCTCTATAAACTGGAATGAGTTTTTTACGTGTGAGGTGATGGATTCTGCATAGGGCTGTAGTTGTTTGGCGAGAAATTTGGCTAGGTTTTGTAGAGGTGAGCCTATGGAGCTGACTATAGGTCTGAGTGGGGTTCCTTCTTTGTGTATCTTGGGGAGACCATAGAGTTTAGGGCATCTGGATGATTTCTCTCTGGGAATGATTCTTTGCTGGATCTCTTCGCTAATGGGGGAGGCTTTTATTTTGGATCTGGTGGTTTTTTCCAGGTAGGTGGTGGGATCTGTATTTAGGGGTTTGTATGTGGAGTCTTGGAGTAGGTTGGTTAATTTGGTTTGGTAGTCAGATGTGTTCATAACCACCGTGGCGTTGCCCTTGTCTGCTGGTAGGATTATTATGCTGGTGTCTTCTTTCAGGTTACGTAGTGCTGTCTGTTCCTCTTTGGGTAAGTTGCTTTTGGGTGGCTTGCTGGTGCAGAGGATGTTGGTGATTTCGAGTCTGATTCTGTTAGCGTCGTCGGGGTTGAAGAACATAAGAACTCAGTCAAAAAAGAGGAACCAACATCTTCCCTGGTCCAACACCTTAAAGCCACAGGACATGAAATTGACTTTAAAAATACCAGAACCATTGCCAAAAGTGAACATTTTAATAACAGAATAATCAGAGAAGCCATCGAGATAGAAAAACGCCCACACAGCATGAACAAGCGAGATGATACCTCCCGCCTACCAGCCGTTTTGGAAACCCGCCCTTATTGACAAACAACTCCCTAACACAAAAAATGATACCAGACCCACACTCACAAAAACCACACAGGATGTCACCACCACACATCCACGCAAAAAACAAACCCAAAGCCACACCGATGATGAGGCACGACCACAAACCAGAAGCCAGACCACAGCTGCATCATTAGCCACTTTAAACCCCTCCAATCCATACATGAAGCAAACTGACACCCTCCATGAAGAGGAGGCACGACCACGAACGAGAAGCCAAAAAATAGCAAGGCAGCCCAAAATCTTAAACCCCTCTGCAACTCAGACTAACCTGAGCACAACCAAACAGAACACTCCCCCAGCCAATCAGAGCACAGCCAAGCCCCTAACCATTCAGAACACACCTCCACCCAATCAGAACACAGCCAAGCTCCCACCCAATCAGTTCATACCCCCACTGGCAGTTAAAAGGAAGAAGCAGCTAAGACCACACATTGCTGCTCAAAGCACGAAGCTGAAAACACCAGCCTGAAGATGACGAATGTGACTTTGTTGAAACGTTGCCAAGACACTTCCAATTTTACGCGGGAGAAAACCCGAACAACCAAAGACCTACATATATATATATATATATATATATATATATATATATATATATGATCAATCAATATAATAATGCAAAAGATGTTAAAGATTCATATACAACTGAAAGCAGAGACCTTTTGGGGGGGACTGATGGATAAGCTACTGGGGGGGAAAAACATGGAACTTTGTTTTTATATATGAAAGCTGTACCAAAGGTACAATTTAAATTTTGACAATTTAAATTATCACATCATCATCAGACTGTTGGAAGGGACGTTGGTGGTCTTCTAGTCCAACCCCCAGCTCAGGCAGGAAATCCTATGCCATTTCAGACAAATGGCTGTCCAGTCTCTTCTTAAAGTCCTCCAGTGTTGGAGCACCCACAACATCTGGAGGCAGGTTGTTCCACTGATTACAAATGGTCACTACAAACTTACAAACAGTTGTCAATTGAGGATTACCTGCCCTTACAGAACACACTGGTGCTGCTTACTTTTAACCTATTTCTCTGGCTTAGTGTTTTGCAAACCCAGCCTCTGTGGCTTGTTTGGGATTCAGTGTATTGCAACAAGTAAGAAAACAGTCCTTGCGTCACTAAGCGGAATGTAAATTTAGCCCTTATTCTGCAAGGCCTGAGCTCTTAACTTTTGCCAATAAGTCTCCCACAAGCTGCTGAGAGTGAGCAGGGGAGAGGGAGAGATGGAGGGAGAGAGGGAGAAAGAGGAAGGGAGGGAGGAAGAGGGAGAGGGAGGAGAAGGGAGGGAGAGAGAGGAAGGAAGGGAGGGAGGGAGGAAGAGAGGGAGAGAGGGAGAAAGAGGAAGGGAGGGAGCAAGGGAGAGGAGGGAGAGAGAGAGGGAGAGAGAAGAGAGAGAGAAGGAGAGGGAGGGAGAGAGAGGAAGGGAGGAGGGAGGAAGAGAGGGAGAGAGGAGGGAGAGGGAGGGAGGGAGAGAGAGGGAGGAGAGGGGGAGAGAGAGGGAGAGAGAGAGGGAGAGGGAGGGAGAGAGAGGAGAGGAGAGAGAGAGAGAGGAGGAGAGAGAGAGGGAGAGGAGAGAGGAGGGAGAGAGGAGGGAGAGAGGGAGAAGAGGAGGGAGGGAGAGGAGGGAGGGAGAGAGAGGAAGGGAGGGAGAGAGAGGAAGGGAGGGGGGAGAGAGGGAGAGAGGGAGAGAGAAAGGGAGGGGGCGAGAGGGGGGAGGAAGAGAGAGAGGGAGGAGGAGGGAGGGAGGGAAGAGGAAGGGAGGGAGGAATAGAGAGGGAGGAGAAGGGAGGGAGGGAGAGAGAGGAAGGGAGGGAGGGAGGAAGAGAGGGAGAGAGGGAGAAAGAGGAAGGGAGGGAGCGAGGGAGGGAGGGAGGAAGAGAGAGAGGGAGGAGAAGGGAGGGAGGGAGAGAGAGGAAGGGAGGGAGGGAGGAAGAGAGGGAGAAAGAGGAAGGGAGGGATGGAGGGAGGAAGAGAGAGAGGGAGAAGAAGGGAGGGAGGGAGAGAGAGGAAGGGAGGGAGGGAGGGAGGGAGGAAGAGAGAGAGGGAGGAGAAGGGAGGGAGGGAGAGAGAGGAAGGGAGGGAGGGAGGAAGAGAGGGAGAAAGAGGAAGGGAGGGAGCGAGGGAGGGAGGAAGAGAGAGAGAGGGAGAGGGAGGGAGGGAGAGAAGAAAGACTTTTACCTTTCTAATTGGGAATCCCAACATATCAAAGTCCTTCAGGCATTTCCGCAAGGGTCCAGTGATCGTAATATTGCTGTAGCGAACAATTTCATGTAGCACGGCGTTCGTGTAGGGTAATCTGTTCCGATCCTCGTACGTGATCGTTTGAGAAGGTCCCAGAATGGCATCTATTTCATGCTGGACTTTTTCTATAGATAAATACGTTACAGGAGTTATCTTAATCTGGCCTTTGCCACGAAGTAGCCAACACCGACAAGGTTGAGTACCCAAGAAAAACAACACGTATCGAGACAGGATTTTTGCTTGAAAGTACAGGTAGTCCTCAACTTACAACAGTTTATTCAGCGACCGTTCAAAGATCCAATGGCACTGGAAACAAAGTGACAGCACCATTTTTCACACTTACGACCATTGCAGCGTCACATGATTAAAATTCAGATGCTTGGCATCTGGCTCATATTTATTATGGTTGCGGTATCCCGGGGTGTGTGTGTGTCAAATGGTTGTCCAGTCTCTTCTTAAAAACCTCCAGTGTTGGAGCAGACACAACTTCTGGAGGGAAGTCCTTCCATTGGTTAATTGTTCTTACTGTCAACTGTCTCGTATTTATGACAGTTGCCGTGTCCCGTGGTCACGTGATCCCCTTTTGCGGCATGATCATGGGGGAGGCTACAAAGGTTTTAACTCGGATCTCAGAGTCCTAGTGGACAATCACCTAAATATGAGCCAGCAGTGTGCTGCAGCTGCCAAAAAAGCCAACCAGTGTTAGGCTGCATTAACAGAAGGATAGAATCAAGATCAAGTGAAGTGTTAATACCACTTTACAAGGCCTTGGTAAGGCCACACTTGGAATACTGCATCCAGTTTTGGTCACCGCGATGTAAAAAAGATGTTGAGACTCTAGAAAGAGTACAGAGAAGAGCAACAAAGATGATCAGTGAACTGGAGGCTAAAACATATGAGGAATGGCTGCTGGAATTGGGTATGTCTAGTTTAACGAAGAGAAGGACGAGGGGGGACATGATAGCAGTGTTCCAATATCTCAGGGGCTGTCACAAAAAAGAGGGAGTCAAGCTCTTCTCCAAAGCACCTGAAGGCAGGACAAGAAGCAACGGATGGAAACTAACCAAGGAGAGAAGCAACCTAGAACTAAGGAGAAACTTCCTGACAGTTAGAACAATTAACCAGTGGAACAACCTGCCTCCAGAAGCGGTGAATGCTCCAACACTGGAAGTTTTTAAGAAGAGACTGGACAGCCATTTGTCTGAAATGGTATAAGGTTTCCTGCCTGAGTGGACTAGATGACCTCCAATGTACCTTCCAACTATTATTATTATTATTGTTGTTGTTGTTGTTTTGTTGTTGTTATTGTTATCTCTGAAAAACGGTCATAAGTTACTTTTTTTCAGTGCCATTGTCACTTTGAATGGCCAGTAAATGAATTGTTGTAGGTTGAGGACGATCTGTGGATCATTTTCACCCAGTGAACAGACACCCACATTTCCAAAGCCCTGGCAGCTGCAGTCACCTACCTTGCACATCAGGATATTTCAGCAAATAAAGTAGACCCCAGTACAAAGTGATGGTGCTGGTTTCTGCTCCTCCAATCAAGAGGTCAACAATGGTTTGGACCATGTTGTCCTCCCTTGAAATGGAAGTTGAGTCGTCTTTGCTCTGGAGATGGAATATAGGAGAAAAGGGACGTAAAGCGGGAGCTTTTTCGTGAGATCCGCCTGTCGGAAGGCTAAAAGTTTTCCCGTCGAATCAGCTCTGTTCTGGGTTCTTCTCTTTCTCACTCTCAGCCTCCCCAGGTAGACCAGACATTGCCCTGATGCAGGTTAGTCCTCGACGTACGACAACCTTTGAGCCCAAAGTTGAGACAGTTAAGTGAACATTGCCCTGTCTTACCACTGTCTTGCCGCAGTTAGTAATATGGTTGTTAAGTGAATCTGGCTTCCCCATTTGACTTGGCTCGTCAGAAGGGCACCAAAGGGATTCACGTGACACCCCTGGGACGCCGCAACCGTTACCAAAATGAGTCCGTTGCTAAGTGTCTGAATTTGGCTCACCTGAGCGCGGGGGATGCTGCAACGGTTGTCAGTTTGAAAACGAGTCATAAAGCACTTTTTCGTTGAAATTTCGAACAGTCACTAAAGGAACTGCTGTAAGTCAAGGACTACTTGTAAACTAATTCTGCTTCGTTTTCAGGTTACATTAACAGGTTTTTGCAACTCTGAAAGTGTCGGTACTGTTTTCCCACCATCATCTTTATAGCTCTTCTAAGCCTCTTGATCCATTGACTGTGCAGCTGAGGGCTACACGCCCTCTTATCTGACAGTTCCCCAGGCAGCCCCTCTTCATCAGTCTCCCAAGATCTATCTATTATACCAGGGGTAGGCAACCTTGGCTCTTTTATGACTCGTGGACTTCAACTCCCAGAATTCCTGAGCCAGCATAGCTCAGCTTGGAAGCTTCTCCCTTTCCCCTCAGCATGGCTGGCTCAGGAATTCTGGGAGTTGAAGTCCACGAGTCATAAAAGAGCCAAGGTTTGCCTACCTCTGGGCTAGACAGTCACTTGTCTGAGATGGTATGGTATAGAACAGGGGTAGGCAACCTGGGCTCTTTTCTGACTCGTGGACTTCAACTCCCAGAACTCCTGAGCCAGCCATGCTGAGGGGAAAGGGAGAGATTTCCAAGCTGAGCCAGGCTGGCTCAGGAATCATGGGAGTTGAAGTCCACGAGTCATGAAGAGGCCATAGTTCTCCCATGCTGGCTCAGGAATTCTGGGAGTTGAAGTCCACGAGTCCTAAAAGAGCCAAGGTGGCCTACCCCTGCATTATACCATTGCACCCATTAACTTATGAAGTCAAGAAAGAGGCTGGTGTTACGTATGAGAGGCTGGTCCTACACAGAACAGGGAGTCATCATTTGGATACTGGCTACTTTCAAGGTGTCTGGAGAATGGAGGTGTGTGTGTGTGTGTGTGTGTGTGTGTGTGTGTGTGCGCGCGTGCGCGCGCGCACGCGTGTGCAAAAGTCAAGATGGTAGCAATAGAAGAGAATCTTTGTAGCTCATGGTTCAACTGTGGAATCCCTGGTGCTCTCTGAGTTGTTTTCTTGCAGACGTTTCATTACCCAGCTAGGTAAAACATAATCAGTGCAAGTAAGGAGTGAAGTTTGTAGAGAGGAGGAGGAGGAGGAAGAAGAAGAAGAGGAAGAGGACTACTGTAGAGTCCTTGGTGCTCTCTGAGCTTGGTTGTTTTCTTGCAGACATTTCATTACCCGGCTAGGAACACTGATGTTACCTGTTTGGTAATGAAACATCTGCAAGAAAACAACCAAGTTCAGAGAACACTAAGGACTCCACAGTAAAGATGGTGGCCAGAACTCTGCGATTACAAACACCTTCTTGACCTGTGTCCCTCACTACATGCCCTGGCTAGCCTGTTCCTAGCCAAGATGACTAGTCACGGGAAGGTTGAGCTGAGCAAAAAACTATGCAAAAACCTTCTCGCTTGCCTTGGCTATGAAATCCAGATAGAAATCAATCAGATCCTGCGGTTCGCTGCCTTCTTTCCATCTCTCCTTGTGACTCTGGATCTTGTCCTTGACGAAATTGTGCATGAATTCGTTGTGTTCAAACAACTGCTGGTAAGGCCCCGGAAATTTGCACATGATTGTGGGGAAAGAGTCGTAGACCTGTAGCAAGGCAGCAAAATGGACACAATGCAGAATGACATGAGGTGAGAATTGATCAGCAGGCTATTGGGTGATCTCCACATCCTGCAATGCTTCTTCACAGGTGGGGGATTTATTTCATTTGAAACAGGAGACCCCTTTATCCTTTGTGGACTTCCCAGCATTCCTTAGCCAGCCATGCCAAGCTGGGAGTTGAAGTCCACAAGTCGTAAATTTGCCAAGGTTGGAGGCCTGGCTGAGGGATTCTGGGAGTTGAAGTCCATACATCTTAAAGATGTTGAGGTTTGCCCTGAATGAGATGTTATTTAAAGCCATTTCGAAGCCTTTCGTTTTATGCTTCTCTAGAAAGACTAAGTGAGGTAAACAGGTGATCAAACATTCTATAAAATGACCAGGAGAGCAAACCAAGTATTTGGATTTTTTTAAAAAAAACAAAAAAACAAAACCCACCACTATTTTTTATACAGACCATCAGGAAATGCGAGGAGCATGGACGGTAGTACAGAACCATCTGTGGTCACAATCCCCACAGCCTCAGGACTTGCCAGCCCCGAAGTGGGCCAACTCCAACTGAGAGACATCCACATAATAATAAAGAGAAAAACAGCACTTACCCTGCCCCAGACGCTACCAGGAACGTAGACAATCATGTGGATAGTTTTTAACAATTTGTTGAAATGGGCATCCTCTTCGGGAAAGCGTTGACCGAACACAAAACTGCATATGATGTTTGCAACAGCATGGCCTAGAGCAGTCCGGGGATCAAAGGGTGATCCTGCAAAGGGAGAAAATGGAGCTGGGTTCACACAGGAGGCTTAATCAGAGAGAGTAAAGACCCAGAGGTGGAATCTGTATAGCAGCGGTCCCCAATCTTTTTGGCAACAGGGACCGGTTTTGTGGAAGACAATTTTTCCATGGACTGGGGGGGGGGGGGATGGTTTTGTGCACTACTTAGATCTTGTGCATGCGCCAATGAAGCTTCGCTCACTTGTGTGGCCTGGTTCCTGACAGGCTGCGGACCAGTACCAGTTTGCAGCATGGGGGTTGGGGACCTCTGCTATATAGCATGCTAGGCTGGATTCATACATACATCAACATACAGCTGCATACAGTCTCTCTCTCTCTCTCTCCCCCTCTCTCCCTCCCTCCCTCTCTCTCTCATCTATTTATCTCTGTCTACCTATCATCCATCCTTCTATCCATCCATCCATCCACCCTTTATCTCATTCTCTATCTATCTATCTATCTATCTATCTATCTATCTATCTATCTATCTATATCATCTCTCTGTCTCTGTCTCTCTCTCTCGTCTATTTATCTGTCTACCTTTCATCCATCCATCTATCTATCCATCCATCCATCCACCACTTATCTCATTCTATCTTTCTCTATCTCTCCCTCTCTCTCTCTCTCTCTCTCATCTATCTATCATCTGTGTCTCTCTTCTCTCTGTCTCTGTCTCTTTCTCATTTCATCTATTTATCTCTGTCTACCTTTCATCTATTCATCTATCCATCCGTCCACCCCTTATCTCTATCTATCTATCTATCTATCTATCTATCTATCTATCTATCTATCTATCTATCTATCTATCTCATCTCTCTCTCTCTCTCTCTCTCTCTCTCTCTCTCTCTCTCTCTCTCTCTCTCTCTCTCTCTCTCTCTCTCTCATCATCTCTCGTCTATCTAATCTCCAAGCATTTAGTGGAAAACAACACGTATATTGCATTTTCCTCCCCTTGAATGGTTTTCTAATGTCCCAGTCTCTACCTGAGAGAGCCAGATGTATCCTGGTGGTCTCCTTTCCAAATATTAACTAACCTCAAATATGCTTAGATTCCACAAGCTATGGCTACCTGCTGCCACTCGACCAGGCATAAATTAGAATAATAAAGTTGAAAAGAAGAGCGATGGAGAAAAAAAAAATCCCAACATCACACTGGACCATTACAAGGTTGTTCATTGCTGATTTATTGTGCAGGGAGAAAAAAAAAGGGGGGGTCACCTTTCTTGCTTGTAAACACCTTCAGAAGATTCTGCGCCTCCTCCTGGATCCGGTTCTCCAGGCTCTTCTTTCCCACACCCAGGTTTCGCAACGTCAACATGACAAAGCGCTTCTGCTGCTTCCAGACGGGGCCGGTGGTCATAAAAACACCTGCGGGACAAAGTTGGGACACTTTATCTTTGAGCATAATATCATGGTACAACCGCTGGATTCCCCAAGGTGCTTTTTCAAGAGACAGCTGGATTTTCTTCTTCAGAACTGAGGAAGCTTCTTGGATGAGAAGCGAAACATCTTCAAGGGAAAATCAAGAAAGTCCAGTCGCCTCTTGAAAAAACAGCTTTGGGACAACCAGGACCTGGATGACGGAGGATTCCATGGACAACAGCTGGGTGATTTTATCTCAAGTTTGTTTCAACTGTGACTAACTATAATTGTCGTAACCGTGCTCCGTTGCAGTGTTTCTCTACCTTGACAACTTTAAGATGAGTGGGCTTCAATTCATCCTAAACACGATGACTGGGGAATTCTGGAATAATAATAATAATAATAATAATAATAATAATAATAATAATAATAATAATAATAAGGTTGGAAGGGATCTTGGAGATCATCTAATCCAACCTGCTCAGGCAGGAAGCCCTATACCATTTTGGCCTGTCCAGACTCTTCTTAAAAACTTCCAGTGTTGGAGCATTCACCACTTCTAGAGGCAGGTTGTTCCACTGGTTAATTGTTCTAACTGTCAGGCAGGGTAAAACATATAACGGACGGTTGCTGGAATTGGGTATGTCTAGTTTAATGAAGAGAAGGATGAGGGGGGACAGGATAGCAGCCTTCCAGTATCTCAGGGGCTGCCCCAAAGAAGAGGGAGTCAAGTTCTTCTCTAAAGCACCTGAAGGCAGGACAAGAAGCAACGGATGGAAACTAAGCAAGGAGAGAAGCAACCTAGAACTAAGGAGAAACTTCCTGACATTTAGAACAATTAGCCAGTGGACCAACCTGCCTGCAGAAGTGGTAAATGCTCCAACACTGGAAGTTTTTAAGAAGAGACTGGACAGTCATCTGTTTAAAATGGTATAGGGTTTCCTGCCTGAGCAGGGGGTTGGACTAGATGACCTCCAAGGTCCCTTCCAACTTTATTATCATTATTAAGTTGCTTTCTAAGGAGAAAAGAAATCATTTTTTAAAAATTAATTTGATGTCTTTAGCATGATAATAATAATAATAATAACAACAACAACAACAACAACAATAATAGTAATGGAAAACATCAATTGCAAAAGGCGGCCTTACTCAATTGCAAAAGGCGGCCTTACTAGGAACTGCTTCCATCCTGCAACGATATCTGTAATACCATCAAACATCCACATCTGCCTATCCCAGGTCCTGGGTAAGGACTCGATAGGTAGACAAAATGCCAAATCCAGTCTGAACATCCGGCTGACTGTGCGATGATCCATAATAATAATAATGACAATGAATCATGCCCTTCATCCACACAGTGACATTGACAGACTTATCTACCAAGGCAAATAGGTGGGCGTGGAATGCTACAAGTACATCAGATGGTTGAAGAAGAAAAAATGGCTTTGGAAGAATATCTGAAGAACAATGATGAAGACGCATTGAAATTAGTATATCAGGAAGGCTTACTGATTACTGGAGAGACCAAACTGGCCTACAAGAAAGACCAAATGAAGAACAGAATAGAGGCACGGGAAGACAAAACACTACATGGCCAATACATTAAAAAAAATAGCTGGGAAAGCATACAATAACAAGACTTGGCAATGGCTAAGAACAGGAAAATTGAAGAAAGAGACCAAGGGACTAATTCTGGCTGCACAAGACCAAGCCTTTAGGACAAATGCATATAAAGTCAAAATTGAGAAGACAGCAACAGACAGTAAGTGCTGCCTATGCAAAGAAGTTGAAGAAACAGTGGACCACCTGGTAAGCTGTTGCAAGAAGATTGCACAGATTGACTACAAGCAGCGGCATGACAAAGTAGCAACAATGGTGCATTGGAAGATCTGCAAAAAAATATCATTTGCCTGTAAGCAAAAACTGGTGGGATCATAAAATAGAGAAAGTCATAGAAAATGATAAAATTAAACTGCTCTGGGACTTCAGAATTCAAACAGACAAGCACCTGCAACATAACACCCCAGACTTAACAATTGTCGATAAGAAAGACAAAAAAGTCGGATAGTGGACATGGCAGTGTCTGGAGACAGCAGAATAGACAAGAAAGAACTGGAGAAGATAACAAAATACAAAGACCTACAAATAGAAATAGAAAGACTGTGGCAAAAGCAAGCAAGGGTAGTACCAATAGTAATAGGCTCCTTGGGTGCAATCCCAAAACAACTGGAGCACAACTTGAACACCATTGGCATTGACAAATTTGCTATTAGTCAATTGCAAAAGGCGGCCTTATTAGGAACTGCTTCCATCCTGCGACGATACCTGTAATACCATCAAACATCCAAATCTGCCTATCCCAGGTCCTGGGTAAGGACTCGATAGGTAGACAAAATGCCAAATCCAGTCTGAACATCTGGCTGACTGTGCGATGATCCATAATAATAATAATAAAGTTGGAAGAGATCTTGGAGGTCAACGAGTCCAACCCCCTGCTTAGGCAGGAACCCTACACCTCATTCGCCAATCCTTCGGTATTTAGGGTAAACCCAGAAAGTAGGTTAATTCAATAAGCCTATGATTTGGTGGGCCCAACTCTGAGATAGCTATTTATCCATTATAGGTAGTCCTTGGCTTACGACCACTATTGAAAGCCAAGTTTCCGTTACTAAGTGAGACATATGTTCAGTGAATTTTGAACCATTTTATCACCTTCCTTGCCACAGGTGTTAGAGTGAATCACTGCAGTTGTGAAGTTAGTAACACGCTTGTTAAGTGAAGCTGGCTTCCCCCGTTGACTTTGCTCGTCATACGGTCGCAAAAGGGGATCACGTGACCCCGGGACCCGGCGACCGTCATAAATACGAGCCCCGTCGCCAAGTGTCTGAATTTTGAGCACATGACCACGGGGATGCTGCAACAGTTGTGAGTGTGGGCAAGGGTTATAAGTCTCTTTTGTCAGTACCGTTGTAACTTTGAACATCGTTGTAACACTGTTGTAAGTTGAGGACTTCCTCTCAGCCCGACATTTCAACAAAGGGGTTGCTGTTTTTCTGGGATCAGTTAAAGGGGACCCCCCCTCATCGGTGTCATCTTAGAGGAAAGACAGCCAAGCAGCAACGTTTAAAAATAATTGTGGTTCAAGGCATTACAGACGTGCCCCCAAATCTGGGTTGGTACAATTTCTACGGGAAAATGTTCACAGCTGACCTTTCTCGCCCATCAGATCCTTAAACAGAGGCAGCAGTGGCCTTCCAGAGGTCTCCTCTGAGTAAGTGACGAGTCCTTCTTTCACGGCCTTGCAGCCATTCAGCACAACCACGGGAGCTGCCCCCAGCCAAATGGTGTAGATGTTTCCATAGATGCTTGTTAACTGAAGGAAGGAACGAAAGAGTCACGGAGAAAAAACGGTGTAATGGTTTGAGAGAGGGAGGGAGGGAGAGAGGATTATTTATTTATTTCCAAAGCACCTGAAGGCCAGACAAGAAGCAACTGGACGGAAACGAATCAAAGAGAGATCTAACCGAGAACTAAGGAGGAATTTCCTGACTGTGAGAACCACGAACCAGTGGAACGACTTGCCTCCAAATCTCCAGCGCTGGAGATTTTAAAGAAGAGATTGGATAACCATTTGGCTGAGATGTTATAGGGCTTCCTACTTGAGCAGGAGATTGCACTAGACTACCGCCAAGATCCCTTCCAACTCCCATTGGATTAGAAGTGGTTATTTTTTTTCAAATTTGGCAAGTTTTAAGATGGGTGGACTTTACTTGGACAAGAAGACCTCCAAGGTCCCTTCCAACTCTATTGTCCTGTCCTGTCTCCCCCCTCCTCTCCCTCTCTCTCTCTCTCTCTCTCTCTCTCTCTCTCTCTCTCTCTCTCTCTCTCTTTCTTTCTTTCCAGAACACTGGGTAACAGCTCTGATATTCAAATGCAGGAAGTGGCGATATTTTAGGAGTACTAAAGACCATCTCTTAGGATGTCATTGCCCATGGGCTTCCTTCCTTCCTTCCTTGCTTGCTTCTTCCATTCATCTTTCTTTCCTTGCTTCCTCCCATCCATCCATCTATCCATCCATCGACCCATCCATCCACACTCCTTCCTTCCTTCCTTCCTTCCTCCCTCCCTCCTCTCCTTCTTTCCCTCTTCCCTCTCCTTTCTTCATTCTTCCATCCATCTTCTTTCTTTTCTTGCCTCCTCCCATTCATCCATCCATCCACACCCTTCCTTCCTTCCTTCCTTCCTTCTTTCCTTCCTTCCTTGCTTCTTCCATTCATCTTTCTTTCCTTGCTTCCTCCTATCCATCCATCCATCCATCCATCGACCCATCCATCCACACTCCTTCCTCCCTCCCTCCCTCCTCTCCTTCTTTCCCTCTTCCCTCTCCTTTCTTCATTCTTCCATCCATCTTCTTTTTTTCCTTGCCTCCTCCCATTCATCCATCCATCCACACACAATTTCCTTCCTTCCTTCCTTCCTTCCTTCCTTCCTTCCTTCCTTCCTTCCTTCCTTCCTTCCTTCCTTCCTTCTTTCCTTCCTTCCTTGCTTCTTCCATTCATCTTTCTTTCCTTGCTTCCTCCTATCCATCCATCCATCCATCCGTCCATCGACCCATCCATCCACACTCCTTCCTTCCTTCCTCCCTCCCTCCCTCCCTCCTCTCCTTCTTTCCCTCTTCCCTCTCCTTTCCTCATTCTTCCATCCATCTTCTTTCTTTCCTTGCCTCCTCCCATTCATCCATCCATCCACACACAATTTCCTTCCTTCCTTCCTTCCTTCCTTCCTTCCTTCCTTCCTTCCTTCCTTCCTTCCTTCCTTCCTTCCTTCTTTATTTGCTGGGAATTGAAGCTTCCACACCACCGTTGGGAAATGTAGCATTTGGCAGCTTGCCTTCTGGTTCTGCCTCCTTCTCTCCATATTTCTCAGTTCTATTTCAATCTCCGGAGATTGTGACATTTCTCTTAGACCCAGTTTTGCTAACTTGCTACACTGCCTGGTTTTTACTGGCATAACATTGTTCTCAGGGCTTCTCAGAACAATTTGCCAGAAAGACAGCACGGTCCAGTATGTCTGTTTCAGGTCTGTGCCTGCACTAAACACACGTGCACACACCCCCACAACTGGCCATACAGCAAGTCCTCCAGGTACGACCACAATGGAGCAGAAAATTTCTATTGCTAAGCGAGACCGTTGTTAAGTGAGCTTTATTCCATTTTGCGACCTTCCTTCCACAGTTGTTAAATGAATCACTGCAGTTGTTAGTAACACTATTGTTACGTGAATCTGGCTCCCCCATGGATTTTGCTTATCAGAAAGTTGCAAAAGGGGATCACGTGAACCCGGAACGCTGCAACCATCCTAAATATATAGGAATATTCTAGTTTATTTAAACTTGAAACATATTTTCTCCCCTATTTGTTTTATATGGCTGTCCATTTCAAGTATAGGACTCTCGGCAGCTCACAACATTAAAAACAAATAAGAACATATTACAGCGCAAAAATAAACCCAGAAATAAAATGGGCAGTTGCTAAGCAGTGGTCTCAACCTTTTTAATGCCGCAACCCCCAACCGGTCGTAAGTCCAGGACTACTCAACTGGTGCAGCAGCACCGTTTGCAGAATGGGACTTTTGGCGGGCTCAGCAGGGCAGAGACAGCCTGGACAATTCCTATTGGCTTTTGAAAGTCAATAGAATTAGACTCTATTCAAGAGAGTCTGTTCTATTGGCTTTCAAAAGCCAATAGAATAAAAGGGAGTAGCACAGCTAAGGAAAAGGGGAAAAAAATGGCGAACTGCATTGTTTGGCGACCCCCGTGAAATGGTCGTTCGACCCCAAATGGGGTCCCGACCCACAGATTGAGAAGCACTGTGCTAGAGCATCACAAAAAGCTCTTGGTGTATCCTTTTGTGGGTGGCCACAAAGAGACAGCATTCACACAACATCTACTCTCTAGTCCAGGGGTAGGCAACCTTGGCTCTTTTATGACTCGTGGACTTCAACTCCCAGAATTCCTGAGCCAGCGTGGGGGAACTATGGCCCCCTCATGACTCGTGGACTTCAACTCCCAGAATTCCTGAGCCATCATGGGCGAACTATGGCCTCTTCATGACTTCTGGACTTCAACTCCCAGAATTCCTCAGCCAGCATGGGGGAACTATGGCCCCTTCATGACTCTTGGACTTCAACTCCCAGAATTCCTGAGCCAGCGTGGAGGAACTATGGCCCCCTCATGACTCGTGGACTTCAACTCCCAGAATTCCTGAGCCAGCATGGGCGAACTATGGCCTCTTCATGACTTCTGGACTTCAACTCCCAGAATTTCTCAGCCAGCATGGGGGAACTATGGCCCCTTCATGACTCGTGGACTTCAACTCCCAGACTCGAGCCAGCATGGACTATCAACTCCTTCAGAATTCCTGAGCCAGCCTGGCTCAGCTTGAAACCTCTCCCTTTCCCCTCAGCAGGGCTGGCTCAGGAATTCTGGGAGTTGAAGTCCATGAGTCATAAAAGAGCCAAGGTTGCCTCTACCCCTGGCCTAGTCCGTTCAATGCTACATTTCACACCACATATTACATTGGGGTGTTGTGCGAATCCAACCATTTCGGTTTACTTGCCATTCAGTGGACCTGAGATTAGGGAAGGCCATTTAACCTCTGACCGAATCCCCTGAACTTACCTGGGTAGACTGAACTCATCTCCAAGGGTTGTGTGGAGATTTAGTTCCTGCTTGTGTTTGTAGAGTCCACAGTAAGGCATCTATTGTTGACGGTTGAATATGGTTTTATCCATTTGAATTGGCACACTACTTGGCAGGCATTCCTGTGTTTGCTTTCTTCCAAAGTCCACAAACTCTGCTGTTTGTTCTAGCTAAAGAATCGAGGCTCGCCTCTTGTTTTAAAAATGGGGTTGATTTTTCAAAACAGAGCAGGAAAAGGTAAAATAAAATTGAACCCCACCAGAAGGTTACTTGATCCTGTTGCAATCACCTTTAACGTATAACTGTAGGGATGTGCGTTTGGGTGAGAGGGGACGATCCTTGCTAACATAACCTCTTTCTTTTTCTCCCTCCCCTCCCCTCTCCTGCAAAAATAAATACATTTTTTGGGGGGGGGGAAAACACAAAAATTACCTTCATCAACGGCTCTCGTTTCAGAGCAAAATCCAGCAGCCATAAATTGCCGAGGATGGGAAGAGGAACCGGGCCAGGGGGAAGCTGACGGCGTGCCCATTGCAACTGTAGAAATTGCCAAGCCACCAAAAAGAGGGCGAAAAGCAGAAACCCTTCAACCAGCATCTTCGACGCGACCCCGTCTCTGCAGATCTTCTGGTTTTAATTATTGGAAACTGCAGACGTCCCTTCACATCGCTTCTATTCCCTCGTTTCCTCTTTTTTTCCCCCTCTCCCTTCTATTTATGGCTTAGAAATAAGCAGTTTTTTTTTCCTCTTAATTTGGCCAAGCCACTCCTTCTCTGGTGGTGATTTCCAGTGTTTTTTTAGCTGTTTTCGATGAAAACTGTTTGCAACAGGTCTGCAGGACAGATGAACCCCCCTGCCCTTTTCCTTGTCGCCTGGTGGTAAAATTTTGGATCCGGAAGGATGATGAGCCAGGCCCAACTGGAGAGTTTAAAGGCGCTGGGGGCATTGCCCTCAAAGGGCACGCTTGCATAAAAAAGGGACAATCCGGAGCATGGTGCAAAAGGTATGCCCACGTGTCACCTATCCTCCGCGAGCTGCACTGGCTTCCTGTGGGTCTCCGGATGCAATTCAAGGTGTTGGTTATCACCTTTAAAGCCCTTCATGGCATAGGGCCAGGTTACTTACAGGACCGCATACTGCCGCACAGTTCCCAGAGACCGGTGAGGTCCCACAGATTGGGCCTCCTTCAGGTCCCGTCGGCCAGACAATGTCAGTTGGCGAGCCCTCGGGGAAGGGCCTTTTCTGTGGTGGCTCCGACCTGGTGGAATCAACTTCCCCCCGAGGTTCGAACTACTCCCACCCTGCCGGCCTTTAAGAAAGCCATTAAAACTCTCCTGTTCCGGCAGGCCTGGGGCTGATGTCCCCGGGGGGGGGGGCAGGATATGATCAGACACGCTGTATGAATGTATTTATTTTATTGTTTTATTGTCATATTATTGTTTTAATTTTGTACGCCACCCTGAGTCCCTTGGGATTGGGCGGCATATAAATTTTAGAAATAAATAAATAAATAAAATATTCCCTTGAAATTTAATCAGTGATTACAGGTAGGTCCTCAGCTTATGACCACAACTGTTGTTGCTAAGCGAGACATATGTCAAGTGAATTTTGCCCCGTTTGATAACTTTCATACCACAATTGTTAAGTGGATCATTGCAGTTGTTAAGCTAGTCACAAGGGTGTTAAATGAATCCACGTGATCCCTGGAACACTGCAACCGTCATAAATAAGAGTCAGTGGCCAAGTGTCTGAATTTGGATCACGCGACTATGGGGATGCTTCAAGGGTGATAACTGGGAAAGAGGGTCACAAGTCCCTTTTTCAGTGCCGTTGTAACTTTGAACAGTCACTAAATGAACTGTCGTAAGTTGAGGACTACCCGTACGAATACAGTTTGATTGGTTATTACTATACTCGTCTGCATTTTCATGTTCGTTGCCCACCAAGGCTCGTTGCAAACGCTGCACTGCTTTGCTTGGAGGCATAGAAAGATGCCTCCAAAATCAGGGGCCATTTAAGTAGGTAGTCCTCAATTTATGACCATTTGTTTAGCAACTGCTCAAAGTTACACCAGAGCTGAAAGAAAATCTGGTCCCTGCACTTATAATTGATCCTTGCAAGTATAACTGTTGCAGCATCTCTGTATTCATGTGATCAAAATTCTGGATGCTTGGAAACTGGCATGAACTTACGACAGTTGCAGCATCCCGGGGTCATATGATCCGCATTTGAGATCTTCCCAGCTGGCTTCCAACAAGTCAATGGGGAAAGTTGATAACTGGGGGAGTCACTTAACAACCCTGGTGATTCTCTTAATGACCACAGGAAGAAAAGCTCATAAAATTTGGCACAACTCTCTTAATTGCTGCTTTGCTCAGCTAAGGAAGCGCCCGTCCCATTTTCGATTGTAAGTGGAGGACTGGATTAATACAGGTAGTCCTTGACTTATGACCACAGTTGAGCCCAACATTTCTGTTGCTAAGTGAGACATAGGTTACGTGACTTTTGCCCCAGTTGACGACTTTTCTTGCCACCGTCGCTAAGCGAATCGCTGCAGTTGTTAAATTCGTCCCACGGTTGTTAAGTGAATCCGGCTTCCCCATGGTCTTCGCTTGTCATAAGGTCACAAAAAGTGGTCATTTATGATGCTACAACTGTCGTAAATACGAGCAGGGGGTTGGACTAGATGACCTCCAAGGTCCCTTCCAACTTTACTACTATTACTATTACTAAGTGTCTGAATTTGGATCATGTGACCATGCAGTGGTCGTAAGTGTGAAAATGGTCATAAGTCCCTTTTTTTCAATGCCGTTGAAGCTTCAAACAGTCACTAAATGAACTGTTGTAAATTGAGAACGACCTGTAATTGATTATTTTATTTTATTTTATTTAAAATGTGGCTCCCGTAATCTTTTCTTTCTCTTCTCTGCTTGTCTGACTGATATCTAATGAGTAAAAGATGTGCTCATCCAACCCAGTCTGGGATTGTAAGCCGGAATCTGTCTACAGTACTCAGACTTTAAGTCTCATGGGATTTAGAACTGCAATACTCTAGACAAGGATAAAGTGGGTTTAAATATTTTGTTATCTGATTCAGTTTGTTGCAGAAGTAAACCTGTGCTATTACTGAATGCAAAGGACTGTTTAGTGCAGTGGTTCTCAACCTGTGGGTCAGGACCCCATTTGGGGTCGAACGACCATTTCACGGGGGTGGCCAAACAACGCAGTCCGCCATTTTTTCCCCTTTTCCTTAGCTGTGCTACTCCCTTTTATTCTATTGGCTTTTGAAAGCCAATAGAATAGACTCTCTTGAATAGAGTCTAATTCTATTGGCTTTCAAAAGCCAGTAGGAATTGTCTAGGCTGTCTCTGCCCTGCTGAGTCCGCCAAAAGTCCCATTCTGCAAATGGTGCTGCACCAGTTGAGTAGTCCTTGACTTACGACCGGTTGAGTAGTCCTCGACTTACGACCGGTTGGGGGTCGCAGCATTAAAAAGGTTGAGAACCACTGGTTTAATGAAAAGGAGGATTGGGGTGACATGATAGCAGTCTTTCAGTATTTGAGAGGCTGCCACAAAGAAGGGGTGTGTGTGCATCTATTCTCCAAAGCATCAGAAGGCAGGACAAGAAGCAACAGATGGCAACTTATGAAGGAGAAAAACAACCTAGAACTAAGGAGAAATTTCCTGACAAGAAGAATAATTAACCAGTGGAACTACTTGCCTCCAGAAGTTGTGGGTGCTCCAACACTGGAGGCTTTTAAGGAGAGATTGGACAGCCAGTCCAGATTGGAATGGTATAGGGCTTCCTGCTTGAGCAGTGGGGTGGACTAGAAGACCTCCAGAGTCCCTTCCAACTCTACTATTCTGTTATTATACCGTGTTGGATGAAGCAAGCCATTCCACAATTTGTTTGTTTTTCAAATTTGGCAAGTTTAAGATGGGTGGACTTTAGTTTCACCTCAAATTATTACATCATATTTTTATTTTTTTTAAATAGGATTTGTTAATTCCATTCATTGCGCTGGAAGTGTGTGAAGCGTCAAATGTTGGTTTACTAACCACAGCCTGGGCTTGGGCAGCCTGCTAAGCCAGAGTTAAACAACATGCTAACTTTGTGTCATGTGTAAACCAGGCTTGAGGATCTGTGCCTTACTATATGCATTAAAAGGCAAAACTAAACACCAGTTTAAAAATTAAATTCACAGTTCTTCCCTCACCACTGAACTTCGACGGCCATCTTAGGAGAAAGGAGAGATGTCACATTTCCATCTCACCTCCAAGCCTGGGGACAATTCATGTAGTCCTTGACTTACAACGGTTTGTTTAGTGACCTTTCAAAGTTTACAATTGTGGGAAGTCAGGCCCCTCTCCCCGAGAAGGAAATATTAAAGAAGCAGAAAAGCATGCCCAGATTTCTTTTTTTTATTTTATTTTATTTATTTATTTATTTATTTTTTTATTGAAAATTTTTAAATTTTTACAAAAACAAATCCCCTTCCCATACCCCCCCCAACCCTACCTCACCCCCCTCCTCCCCAACCTCCCAAACCCTCCCCTAGACTTCCCAGAGCTGAGTACAGGCTTAATTGAGAAAAAAACTTAAAACACTTTTAAAACCTAAACAAATTTAAATACAATCATCATTCTATATAAACTCCCTCCAAAAACGCAAATTTAAACATTACTTTCTTTGAATATCTATAGCTATAATGTAAAATCTAATTTCTCCCTCTTTCTTTATCCTAATACAAAAAAATAAACATATAAACCTTTGTTGTACGGTCTCTGAATCTCTGGGAGATGTTGGACCTACAAAGTCTTTGGAGCAATCTTCAAGGGTGGCTCTGGGAGAAGTTAGACCTACAAAGTCTTTGGATCAATCTTCAAGGGTGGAATTGCTGCCTGAAATGGAAATTGGGAAATTTCAGTTTGAGGGGCACCAACAAGAGAGGAACGGGCAGAGGATAACTTGTACAATTTACAACTGTGAAGATCAACACAAGGAGGAATTCACTGAGGAAGTTTTACAGGTATTGGTCCCTGAGACTTGTGCAACATATAAATGTAAAGAAAAAGTAACATATAAATGTAAAGAGAAAGACCAACAGAAGAAGGAGGTTGAGGAAGTTTCACAGGTACTGATTCCTGAGCTGGTGGGTCAACCAGGACTTACAAACTCTTTGGAGCGATCTTCAAGGGCAGAATTCCACGCATTTTTTTCGATGCTTGCGGGCAAGAGAGACCGATATGGATTGTGCTTATAGTAGATGCAACTGAACTTTAGACAAGAAGTTTACTATTGAGATTGTGGGAGAAGTAAAACTTATATCGTTTTTGGAAAAAGTCTTATGTAATGTCTAAATATGTGTTTTGGGATAATAATATATTTTAGTTTTAAGTTTTAAACCTTTAATGATAATATTGTTTAAACCTGTGTTTTGAAGGGATTATAATTTGTTTATTTCAGTGAGGGGATTCTAATAAATTTGTGTTTCGAAGGGAGTATAATTTGTTTAAGTTTTAAGTAATGCTTAAATTTGGTTTTTAAATATTATTATTAATATTTCTAAGAGAAAATAATTTGCTTAATTAAATGTCTAGATTTGTTTAGGAAAGAAAGTAATGCTTAAATCTGTTTTTTTGGAGAAAGTTTATATAGAATGATGATTGTATTTAGATTTGTTTAGGATTTAAAAGTGTTTCAAGCTTTTAAATATTATTATTAATATTTTTAAGAGAAAATAATTTGTTTAACTAAATGTGTCTAGATTTGTTTAGGATTTTTAAGTTTTTTTTTTTTTTTTTTTTTGGATAGGTGAGAAGATTATGAAGATTGAAGGAAATATGTATTTACTTTAAGTTTTCTAAGAGTATTTAGTTTTAATGGCCCAGATTTCTTAATAGCCCCAAGTCTCCCTCCCCCAAGCTGAAACCAACTCTATGCAGATGTAAACCATCCAGGAAGGTTGGAAGCCCCCAGCTAGAAGATTAAGAAGACAAA